GAGGGGCCCTTAGGCTTCCAGAAGCATCTTTGGATTCTCAAAAAATGAGGTCCTCCAGCCTCCAGATGATGTTGGTTCCTTTTAGGTGTTTCTCAAAGAAAAGGCCCTCCAGATGATGTTGGGTCCTTCTGGCTTCCCAAAACTATCCCAAAAAGGTTCCCTTTGAGACAGACTCATTTTCTGGTTAGCAAATGCGTTATTTCGAGGGGGAGTCATCTTCGCTGGCTGCTCAAGTCACAAACGCCGCCCGGCTCTCACGCGGGCGAGCGCAGGCCTTCCGGAATGAAAGCAAATGAGCCCTAGACTCCTGAAAATGACATGGCTTCCTATTTGCCTCATTTGCCTCCCTTCAGAATCGTCAGGGGTTTTCCATTTCGAAGTAGAACGCAGCCAGGGTTCGCACGTAGGTGCTGGGCGGCGCGAGTTCCTTCGAGACGTAGCCCACGCAAAGGCCACAGAAAACCAGGTAGAAAACCTGCAGGCAAGCGTCAGGCACCCCAGTTTGGCCCATCCAAGTCCCTCATGCCCAGACCCTCAGTGGCCGTGGGGAAAAATTGAAAAGGGCAATCTTTCGGTGTTCTTGATTTTGAAGGGAAGGCCTTTCAAAGGGCAAACAGAGCGTCTGGGTATGAGAAAGGAGCGCTGACTCACTGACTCACAGGGTTCCGTATGCCGCCGTATGCTCTTTTGAACAGGGCACCCAAACCGCAACCAAAAAGTGCTGCAAGCAAGCAAGCCGGACGAATTCGCCTAGCAGGTCAATCGGATGTTTCCCCAGAAGCAATCCACATCCCCTCTACCCGAGGCATCCCAACCAACCAAAATCTGATTTATCTCGGCTCCCAATAGCCTGACTTGTGCCCTGCCCTTGTGAGGGCACGAGCTCCCCCAAGCCAATGCACCTTCCACTGTGGGCGCACGCTGTGATCAGTGCCAGGAATCACAGTGGTTCCCCAGGCCAAGAGCCGCATCGGCAAGCAACCATATTGAATGAATACGGCAAGCCTGCCCCAACACCCTCCCCAGCCGACCTACGGCTCGCGTCCCAAGCAATCCCAAGCTGCTTGAATGAAACCATGCCTTCTATGCCAAGGGGCGTCAAGACTCCAAGTTTGCAGCAGGGGGAAGGTCTTGCAAAGTAAAAGGAGCACGGTGAGCGCCAGGACCAACCACAGCTGTCCCAGGGACAGCCACAAAGTCCTCACATGGGATGGATCCCTCATGAGGGTGTCGGCTGTGGCTTGGGCCCTTGTCTATGCTTGAACCGGTGTTTGAACAATGGGTTGGTTTCCCTTCTTTATGGGAGGTTCTGGTTGAAGCAAACGTTGCAACCGACCGGCTGTGAGTAATGCTCGGGAGCCAAAGGTCCGAGTGAGGACAAGGTTGAGCTGCACGGTGGTGATCGCCGTAAGCATGACAATGATCAAATAGTTGAGCATGCCTAATCGCGGCTGGGAAAGCCACATGCGAGGCAACAATCTGCAAATACCAGCCAGCATGCTAAAACAGAAATCAGGGATCTCCAAATAGAGGACCTTGAGCTCGATGTTAACCAGGTGCGCTCGCCAGAAAATTGGCAGAGCTCTGGCTTAGACAAGTGCTTAAGGCCTGGGTGTCCGTCGATTCAAGCCAACACATGGTGCACTAGCTGACCACCCTTTTTCCAACAAAACCTGGCACTTGGACAATTTGGGGGGGGGGGGGCTTACAAAAGGAATTTTGCATGTAGTCTTGCCAAACTTTGTCCGATCGTCCGCTCCCATGATTGTTGAAAAGAGGACATTCCTTGACTGTTTCCTGTCCCTTCTTCTTCTTCTTGTTTCTCGTTTGGTGGCGATGGTGCCGAGTTTCGCAAAGCAGTTGGCTTCGTGACGTGGTTGCATGACGTGACCCGGAAAGTGTAAAACCAGTGTTTTGCGGATTCTGACCATTGGGTCACGGTCAAGGAGTGCAAAGTTTGATGCACGCAGGGCTCTTCAAAGGGTACACAAACCACATGTTTTGCAAGCCAACCCTCTAAATCAGCCGCTATTTGCAAGTGATGTTCTATCTGGCCCAAACGTATCCTCTGAGGACCCTGGTAAACCGATGGGATCCTCGCGTAAATTTGAAGGGCAAGCTTAAAATGCCAGCATCCAAGCATCCCCGTTCAACTCACTACCAAAGAGGTGAGATCCAAACACTCCAAGCTTTAGCGCAACATGCCCCAAGGAAGCTTGCAAAACCTGCACCTGTCGAGGTGGGCGCTGAATACTGGGATACGGCCATCCACAGTTTTCCCCTTCGGAAAAGCAAATGGGGGCTGCCAAAAATAGAGGATCCTTTTTGGATGAGAAACCAAAAGGAAACCGCCTATCTGGATAGATCCCAGTTTTGAGAAACACCAATAGGCACCAAAGGGGTGGATGTGCTCAAAGCTCTGAAGCTCCGCCAGGCCACTTTGAGCCACGGAAAGCCGGTGCTGCGAGATTCCTGCGAGGAACACTTGGAAAGTCATCACGTGTGAGACACACAAACAGGCGCGCACACACAAATATATACATATCGATATGTATAAGTAAAAAGAATTCGTGCACCGTTAGGAGGCTACGTTCGCCGTCGCTCAACCATGACCCGCACAGGTGGGTAGCGTTATCACGCGGTTGGGGGCACGGGGTGGGGGGTGGGGTGGTGGGTGGCCGGAGGTGACCAAGCTGTCAACCGTAGCTCCGCGCGGAAGAAAGTTCAGGTGCTTAGCTTCTGGCTCGCCGACTCGGCGTGGCCTCGAAAGCGCGCCGCGAGAATTGCGAAGGTTTGGCGAAACGGCGAACGTAGGCCCCTGAGAGAAATATCTCGATAAAGGCGTATAAATCTACTTATGGATATATATATATATACACATGTGTGTGTACTTGTGTGTATCTATATATATATACATAGAAGTTACACAAGTATGTGGCAAACCAATTTGGATCTGGAACTGGAATATCACACAGTTCTGGCGACAAGAACATCATCCCGCGACCGCTGCGTTGGCTACATACATGGCATGAGTCACGCCCAGGGGTCTGCGTGCATGAGCGCAGCAGTGAGTATATGCAATTATGTAACCGTCTCCGGCCCTAGGATCTGTTGTCAACTCCGTGCCGTGCGATTTGCAAGAAAAAGCTCTGTCAGTTGAACTGTTTTCACTCTTGAGCGTGGAATCACCAAGATGGTGTGCCCTTGAATGTGGACATAACCATCTTGGTGGTGCGGGTTCCCCTAGCGCGTGGATTCGCTAAGGGGGTATGCCGCATATGCCCTCGAACGTTGAAATGAACATCTTGGTGGCGTGGGTTCCCTAAAATGGCTGCCAAGCCTACTATATGAACGTGCATGTCCATGTGTGTGTGTGTGTGCGCGTTCCGTGTGTCATCCCTGCATTCATGCGAAAGCGCGACCTCTGCAAACATCCTACGATACTTCTAGCACCTGGAATAAGTGGTCCCTGACTAAAGGAGGACCTCGTGCCATAGGCAGAACGCGGACTCCCACTCCTTCTTGGATTCGCCGGTCCCTTCTGCTGCGGTGGCTTGACATGATCTTCGACAGGCGGCACGACTGAAGCCACTCCTCGGTTGCTTTCTGCTCCCTTGCTAAAAGTGAATAACTTTTAGTGGTTTAATGGAACGCCCAGTAGTTGGCAAAAAAATAAGTCCTAACATCCAAACAAAATGCACCAAAGACTCCGCGATACTCTTCCTGTGCTTGTAGGCGACATAGGCAAAGCGACACAGAAAGGCAACTTCTAGGCTCAGGGACGCCGCCAAGTAGACAATATGACCTGAGCGCTGCTCACCCGGCACTTTGAACAAACCATCCTGCAAGCAACAAACATTTGTCAAGGGCAGGAATTTACACTCTAAGTTCGCGAAATGGAGGGCCACAAACAGGAGAATGCCACACCCATCTGCACACACCAACTAAACGTGCTACTCCTTCACAAGCAAGGGCTCCTGCAATTCGCATTCAAACCTTGGCGCAAATGACAGGCTTGGAATTGAGTGGGGAAATCGGCAAACTCTCCGCTGTGGAACGTGCAGTGCCAACTGCGCACCCAACTGCACTTGAACATTTGGTAGCCGGGTGAACGTCAAGCGGGCATGTTAGTAGAGAAAGCTAAGATGTGTGCTGCAGCACATGTAATAGGGTCATTTTGAAAACATAGACAGCACTAGTACTATTTGAGTCAAGCAACACATAGATGGGCAACCAAATGGACCTCAAAACCATGGCCGCATGAGCGTAGAATCTGTACCATGGCCCCATGGCCGGGCAGATTCGCAGGTCATGAGGACTTCTCCTCAAAAATCCCACGCAACTTCGAGGAGCCTCATGGTAGGGTTTTGGGGTAGAACCAGACTATATAAAGAGGTCAGTGCTGACCTCGAACCACCTCTAGCGGGAACCTCCAGGACTTGGCCCGCCCAGCGGCTCTGGTCCAATTCCTCAAGCTCCATGGCTCAACGTGCCCTCTGGGGAAGGCTACGAGGAGTGCGGCCGGCGTCAGTTTTCCCGAATCTCGGACTCGATCTGATTTGAGGAGAGTGGGGGGTACTCAAAATGTGGGCGAAATGCGAACCACATGAGCTTGAGCCCATGACACACGGCTTTCCGCAATTTAAACTGCGCTCAAAGGAAACTCGCGAAGCCCCGTCTCAAACCACCTGGAAAGAGAAAGCGAATCATCCTGCGCCAGAAATATGGAAGCATCCAGGTGGTCAAATTCCATCCCGTGCTTAGTACACGGACCCGTCCAACTGCATAAGGATCTCAGCAAAGGCATCCGGAAGCTCGAAATCCCCGCGCACCATGAACCCCCCATTTGGCATTCCGATGGTCCTGGCAGAGCATTCAGCCAGCAGCTCGTAGGAAGCGACTCCCAACCCGCCCCCTTCCAAACCCTCACACTTGACAATCCCACGGCTCATCCAAAAAAAAAACGCCTCATGAGGCATGGAAAGGGATCGACATGGAGCCCGCGGAAATCGGCCGCGGGCTTTTGACAAACGCCAAACCAAGACAAGATCAAGTGAGGACCCGCACCTGGCCGTGGTTGAGTCAAAACCCATGGGATCCCATTTTGGGGAAGTAGGTGAATCCACCACCCATGGTTCGTCTAGTTTAGTGGGGATGGCCCGCACATCGAGAAGCAAAGCTCCTAGCTTTGCACCAGCCACTGCTCCCCAAGCCCCAAGAAAGCCACGGCCTAGACTTCCCCCTGGCCATGGAAAAGCACAGCATCTCGAGAAACCAACAAGGTGTTGCCCCTTTGGTTACGTTGAGCAGCTTACACTCCATCCCTTTGGTTACTGTACATTGAGCAGCTTACAATCCCATCCCTTTCTAGTTTCCGTCTGAGCAAACATGAAAAAATATGGACGATTCTAAAGATCTAGTTAGCACCCAGCAGTACTTCCGGGACACGGGGCCACGCCTACAGACTCATCAGCCAAAACGCTGAGGTTCGCACACCTTCGTCAAGTCCGGAGAATTCTTGGGGAAGTGTCACCCCCCCTCCTGGGATTGTAGCTTCTCCCGCAGCGGCTGCAAGGCGTCCGCCTTCGCCTGGCGAATCGGTCAGTCGGTCAGCGCGCGCTTCAGCCGTGCCTCGCTGGGCGACTTCTGTTGCTGCGGGTGCTGCTGCCGTTTGTTGCGCTTCCCAAGCACCAAAAAAAACACGCCCAGAAACAGATGGGACCGGAAGCGTGTTGGGATTGAATGCGAAAAACCTGAGTTCATTGGCGCGGGAACACTTCTGCAAGTGTGCTGGACAGCTACTCTTCATATTCTTCGTCCGCTTCTTGCTGCTGCATTCGTTGCTGGCACAAAGCGCCAACCAGCTCGGCTCCCCATAGAAAAAGCAGCTTCCCCACCAATGGGGCCCACTTCAAAACGGCAGCCGAGCTGATGCCGAAAGGGTTAGGTTGCTGGAGAATCTCTGGTTTTGAACCACGCAGCCCGGACTTCCTACAGATACATTACATCCTGGAACCCAAGCAGCCATCATTGGTGGCGGAAGCTCCTTTGAGGAAACAGACTCCGTTTTGGACTTCCATGTCCCAGACTTGCGGCGATGGCAAAAACGGCACTTTGTTTGAATTTGTTTGGCATATAATTTGATGTTGATGACACTGGGCGAAGGACATTTGGCTATGAATAAGAAAAACAAAAAACACTCCAAAGTAGTTGGTGGCCATGAACCGCCACCGAGTTCCGATGTCCGAAAAGTGGCCCTCTCAAAAATGACACCCATCTCTTCGCAACGGCGCCTGCTCTTTCAGCTTCCTCCTCTCCTTGCGTCCAAGTGCTTGGCCTTTGGCATCTGGGCCTGCCTGGACGCGAGCGATGCAGAAACAGCGCTCACTACCGAAGTCGAACGCCTGAACTAAATATTGACCCCATATTGATCAACCCCAGTCTGCCAGTTTATTAATTGGGGGGGGGTTCCTGGGTTTAGTGGGGAATCATCACTTTTGGACGGGGAACACCCCCCCCCCTATTAATAAACTGGGGTTGATGAATATGGGGTCGAACATTAGTACTGTTTACCACAAAGGCGGTGATCCACATTGATCGAGATTTGGCAACCCTTACGGCGCTCCTTCGCCAAGCTTTCGTGACCTTTTTCGCGGGCAAAAGCGTCTTCCTTTCGCGCGTGCTTGTTTTGCATCAACCCAGTTCGCGGCTCTTTCGCGTACAAGTGTAGCACACCAAGCACACTTAGCTCCAGCTCAAGCATCGCAACAAAAGAGGCCACCCCTGGAATCTTGGAAGCCTTTCGCCGAGTGCCAAAAGCTTTCGCTGAGCTTCGTCACAGCATGCAACTACACAGTGGTTGTCTGGTGGCAGGATGGTGAAACATGGACCCAGAGAAGTTGCATGGGCTTCCTGTCCGGTGCTTTGAGCCCTGCACCCTTTCAAATTGACACACACACACATCGTGACCACCCTATTGAAGAGTTGCCCAAAAAGCGGGTGGCAAGCGGAAAGCGCAACAATGAGCGCGTATGACATGCAAGACCAACAGGCTGTGCAATGGTTGCATCTTGCTGAAAAGGGGAGCCCACCATCCATGGAAAGGTTTTAGAGCCTGTCACTAGGCTTTCGAAGTGTGGCCCTCTCCCCGCTGGGACGCGCCCACCCCGCCATCTTCGTCAGCAGCATTGCTACTGGACTGGAGTGAAGCTGAGCCGAAAATAACGGTGCAGCGCGGCAGATACAGTCATCTACCACGCATTTCCGGGCGATGGCAACTATATTCACCCACGGTCAACAGAAGGAATTAACTGGAAAATGATCCGTGAGTCATGGATTTGCAGAACGTGTGGGCTTGTCTCACAGTAGGGGATCCCTAAGCATGCTGGTTTTCCTTATTTCGCTCCGTTTGCACCATACTGAAAAGGGTACCCTCAAAAACACACACCCACATACACACACACACACCCACACACACACACACACACCCATGCACGCACGCACGCATCCACACCCACGCCCAGACCCACACCCACACCCACACCCACACCCAACACAGCACAACACAACACAACACAACACCACACACCACACACCACGCAACACGCAACACACAACACACAACACACAACACACAACACACAACACACAACACGCAACACACAACACACAACACACAACACACACACACACCACACAACACACAACACACACGACACACCACACACCACACACCACTCACCACACACCACACACCGCACACAACACACGACACACGACACACGAGACACGAGACACGACACACGACACACGACACACGACACACGACACACACACACACACAAGTGGACCAACCTATCATAGATCAGCTAAGGCCATCCAAACGCGCTGTGAGCCTAGCGGGCACACCGTCATGGCCTGAGAAAGGTGCTCAAGGCAAGTAGAGTCCTGAAAGCCCACTTGGCATGGAATCAGCCGGTGGGGCATTTGCGGACCAAAGTGGAGCTCGGTGCCTGTGGCACTCGCGAAGCTCATTGCCAAGGGCCATAACAACATGCAACCTGAGCCAGGCAGAGAGACATTAAGTCAAGAAGACCGAAGGAGCACAACGAAGGCATCTGAGCAGGGCTCATCTGCTATCTACACCCGGCGCAAATGGACTTTCACTTGGAATGTCAACCCCGGATGAATGAATATACTTGGCGGCTTGACGCTTTTGGTTCCTCGACAAGTCGGGGATCCTCACTGGGCTGCACCCCAGTATCAATCAACCAGGAGTTTACAGTAGCATCTAAACCAACGATGGCGAAAATGAACTCCGGACCTCCTCTAAAATCGGCTGCCCCTTCAGCAAGGTGCGTAGGCATCCACCTGCAAACTTACCAATAATTAAGAACTGAAACAAGCATTGGATCCCCAAGCAACGCATCTGCATCATGCTGATCTTCTTGTACACCCGACCATGAGCTCGCCATGCATTCGAAAGCCCCCCCCCGGCAGTACAGAAGAATAGCATGGCCAAGTCTTGTGTCACATTCTGCCATCTTGCAGACCCCCAAACCTCAACCTCCCCAACCTTTGGGTGTCTCCAGCCCGCCTTTGGCCCGTGATCGCCAAACCTCGGCGCCAGCTGCGCAGGCGGCGGCGCCGGCGCTGGATCTGAGAAAGAACTCTTCGGCGCCCTTTTCGCTGGTCGACCTGAGGCTCCTCTGAGGGTATCCCCGCTTTTGGTTCCCCAAAAACCAAAAGAATTCCAGGTGAAACCGAAAAGGGTATCCTCAAGAAACACACGGAAATCACCTGAGGGCCACGTCTCTCATGGCATCAAGAACTGCTTGACTCATGGCCGTTCTGGCCGGGAAAACTCCGTCTCCCCCCAAAAAAGGCTTCCACATGCCTAGGGAAACGGGTGGAAAGTCCCGCAACCAACATTTGTTTAAGCGAGTTCAACCACAAAAGAGATATAGAGGAAACAAAATGTGGATCTCCACGGGCCACGTCCCTCAATCCCATGTTCGCCGGGTTGGGGATCAGAGCCGACGTCTTCCCCGGGAAAAACCAAGGTGGCCCCTGCAAACCAACGAGCCATTCCGCCAGCTGGTCGCCAACAACGGACATTTCGAAGGAACCAAAGGCACACGGCGGCAAACAATGAGCTAGGTGATCAATACGAGCATTGGCATTAACAAATGATATCATGCTTCATCTGGAACACCCAATTCACAATATCCGGGGTATGTTCTCCCTTTCGTTGTTGGCTTCTTTTCTTGCAGGCGGGGGGGGGGGGGGCGGGGGGCGCGTAACATGTACAGTCGGGAGAAAGTGAATGGCACAAGTCCCAGCTTTCTTTCTTGGTTTGGTCATGCCAAAAGAAAGTCAATTGTATCATTTGCTTTCTCCATTGGGATCGCCTTTGTCCTTCCTTCCTTGGACGCTTCTTGCTCCCACCCCCTTTCCCGAATGGGTAGCCTAAAGCCACATGTTCCACCATGTGGTATACCCATCCGTACATCACACAAAAATCCCGACACTTGAAACCAATAAAATTGGATGCCCGAGTAAAGGGCCTGCATCATGGACACGCCGCCCATAACATACTTGTCAAGACATAGACCACCCAAAAAACAAATGTTTAGAAGTATTTAGAAGTGTTTCAGGTTTAAGGTTTGCATTTCTTGTGCCGGGAACACAGAAGTGTTTAGAAGTGCTGAAGGTTTGCCTTTTTTTGGTGCAAAGAAAGCCATAAAAAGGCCACCCAGGACAACAGGGCACGGCAGCCAGCAGGTCGACCCGGAGCCCGGCCTCCTTTTGGCTCAAGGCCCAGAGCCGCCGTAAGGCCCAGCGTGTGCCTCAGGGAGGGCTGACCATGAACATGGAACCCAACACGACCTTCGTCCATCGTTAGCGGAGCTACCTTTTGGCAGACCCACTTTTGCAGCTCCATTTAAAGATGTGCATCTATTGATTCACGTCTATTTGCTAGTGTATGTGTGAAAATGTGTGTGTATGGGCCAGCCCCTTATCCCATCATGTGTACGCGTTTTTTTTCCTCTGTACAAGAAAAGAGGAAGAGAGAACGAAACGCAAAGACACAGCGGAAACAATAAATGAGGAAATTATTGGACAGAAACAAATGAACACGTTCTGTAGGCAAGAGGGAAAGGCAAAAGAAAGAACGAGACAGCAAGAACAAGAAAGCAACAATCAAAGTTGAAAAAAAAGACAACAACACGGGAAATTGCAAAGAAAGAGAGCAAGACAACAACAAGAGGAGAAACTAGCCAGGACCAGGAGAAAAAGATAAAGACAAAGGAAAAGAGACCTACAGCTCTGCGGCCTCAACGCACTGGCCAACTCCGCGCCGAATATGGTGACTTACCCCCTTCCCACACAAGAAATGGGTGTCCTTTTCGAAATCGTTCAAAAGCAAAAAAAACACCCTCAAAAAAAGCAGGCCCAAAACACGATCCGCTGAACCTTTTGGGTGGGACCCGACCCCCTTTGGTCCCATTCACTTCAGCACCTGCGGGAAAAAAACAACTGAGCCCGCATTCAAACACCGTGGAGCCTTGGAGATTAGATTACGGCCAAAGGGTGAAGGACACGGCCGTCAGGCACCCGCCTTTCCAACTCGCAGGGAGCATGCCCAGCCTTCATTTTGGAACAAACCCCTCCCAACACTTGCGTGGCGAATCGCCAAAATCATTTTGCATCACTCCACATGGCCAGGCCATCCCAAACCCAAGCACTCGATGCCCATTTTGATTCGCAGCCACTTTCGGAACGCGGCCCGGCCGTCGAGCGAACAAGATTTGCCCGCGGCCGTCATGTGGCACTTGTGCGCGTGTTTCTCTTTGGAGGGTAGCTTTTCCCGGGCTTGTTGAAGCGGAAGCCGAAGCGAAAACGCCTTTACAACGCAACCCTTGCTTGCCCAGGTGGGGCCAACATTGCGCGAACATTTGGCTGGCTTCACGTCAGCTGCCAGCGAGCTCGGTAAACATCGCGCGGGGCCTGTCTCACACTACGGAATCCCTCGCAGAGTTTGAAAGGACATTGAAAGGACAAGGAAGAAAAGGAGCCAACCATATTTTGGGGTCCATACATTTGAGAGACACAGGGACCAAAATATCTGAGTAAGAAGGAATGCTGAACAACTGAACATCGCAGTTGTTGTACAAGGCTGCTTGGTTCTCAGAGGAACGGAGGTCAACTCAAGAATTGATCACAGCTCACCGGCCCGGCACAATGCTCAAACTGATGATTTGGGCTGATGTCGCAACAGGGCACATGGCCATTCGGCGAGCATTATCAGCGACTTCTGAAAGGCACCATGCGAAGAAAGCGCGGAGAAATGGACAAGAGCGCTCCCGGGGTGTTAAAAGACTGGGTAAATTTATTGAATGCCACACTTACCCGGATGCTAACTGCTCTTCGAATGACGGCCCAGCACCACCATGCGAGAAAGGCGAGGAACAAACAGAAGAGAGAAAAGGGCACGGCCACAAGTTCTGTCTGGTTCGGGCTGTGCACGCGCTTCTTATGGAATCCCTAGCAGGGTAGGTACAAGGGGGGTGGGTAGTAGAAATTTCTAGGGCTCCTTTAGGGGTTGCTTGGAGCGTTAGGGAACCACCCTCTTGGACTCCCCTCCCTTAGGGATTCCATTTCTTCTAAACTTCACCCAACCAGGCTTTGATATTCGCTAAGAGCTGGACAACCGCGGCCCGGACGCAGATTTTCCCTCACACTGGCCAAACCCCCATGCCACTGCGATGCTATGGAGGATGAGGCGTTCCAGTACTTGAAGGTGGGGCGGGGCTTGTGCCACTGGCAAGTTCAACGGGGTGACTGAGACGGAAGATCTGAGCAACCTCCATGTACCCTTAAATCAGGCCAGATCGATTTTTCCCCTCAAAACTCTTCAGGAGTATGTCAACTGTTTGACATGCCAATTATATTTCAAACCCTCTTGAATATCACAAATGACTGGATAAGGGACCGGAGATTAAACAAGACAAAACAAATAAGCTCAGGCGATATCCCCAACAGCATGCGGTGCTCTTTTTAGTGCTCACACCCCTCGTGGAACCCTGGTGGAACCTTACCTCAGGGCTGCCCCGGACCCCGGAGCCTATCTGGGCTCATCGACCCCAAAGCTTTCAGCTGGGGAAAAAGAAAAGAGACTTCTTGCAGGATACTTCCTCCCGGCTTCCTTTTTGGCCATAGACACCATGTCCAATGCTCTCTGATTCTCGCTCCAGGGCCCCATCCTCCAACCCCCATGTCCGTGAGACCTACGCGCCGAGATCAATGCAGATCCCCGGGAATTACCACAAGTCAACGGGGGCGGCTCTGAATCGCTCCATGGACTCGACCATTGGCATGGCAACCAAAAACACCAACTACCGAACTCGTGCAATTTTTCGAACTTCAAGTCGCCTCCCAGTTTTTGCTTACTGCCTCTCAGCGCTCAGAACATGTTCCAGCTGCCCAGGATCTCTTTCATGTGGATTTTTCGGCGCACTGAGCAGGTGTGGCCCTCAATGTACTTCATCACCAACAGGGGTTTGGCCTCCACCTGTTGTGTAGTTGTGACCTCAGGGGCTAGACAGCGAGGCAAACCAATGCAATTGATCGGCACCGCGGTCATCCAAATAATCATGCCTGCTAGCATGAGCAACAACTGAGCCACACATAGTGTCCAAGAGGGCAGCATCTGCGGCTTATTTTTGCTTACATGGGCCAAGGGCGAGAACACTGACATACGTAAGTGTGCAGCTGCTTGTTACGTCGGGCCTTGACCGGCCGCCAAGACCGCAAAGAGCACTTGCTCATGTCTTGCTCCTTGTCCTTGAGGGACTTCTTTGGCTTGGCATTGCCAGTTTTCTTCTTCACCAAGCCAAAGATCTCATCATCCTCTTCCTGAGGCAAAACCCGGCGACATGCACTTTCCCTCTTAGGGAGGGCGGAGTAAGCCCAGGATAAGCCCCTAAGACGGGTGGGTACTGCAGTGGCATTCCATTTTCTGAATCCAAAGGGACAGCTGCGGTAAAACCATGGGCACACGGGTGACAGGGCAGTCCGACAGTTCCTCAAGCTTTGATTGCGGCAGCGCCATGTGGCCCACGAAACATGCAACGGAGGAAACGGTCCGTGTGGGGGGACCACCCCCGGAGCCTGAAAATAAAGCTGGCTCATGATCGTGGCACCATGGCTATTCAAATTCCCAACTAGAAATCCTAGATCAGGCCATGTCCCAATGGCAATTGATGGCGCCTCATTCAGCTGCCGAGCTTCCGCAGCCTCCATCGCCACGTCCTGTGTCTGCTCCTGCGTCTGCGAGTCTGCAAAGCGTCTTCTGGGACCATCCTCCTCAGCTGAAATGCGAAAGAACCCTACCCCAGGCGAAGTTCCGCAGAAAACAACGAATTCCCATACAAGGATGCCTCGCATGGATGTTCGAAGCCTACCCGCTGTCAAACATATGGCACACATTCTGCCTCCTGCTCTTGTCTTCTAATAATATGCTTCTTGTTTTTGCCTTTCTTTGGGATTGATCTGCTTTGTGAATCTTGCTGCAGAAATTATTTGCAGTGGACCAGGATGTTGGCAGACATGATCTGTTGCCCCTGCCTCAAGCTACTACTCAGTTCCAGACGCTGAGGCCAAGCACGAGAACTGACCCTGCATCGATCTCTCCAGAAACCGCCGTGCAGGAGACAGCTTGAATTCGATTTGGGGGGCTGCTTCGATTGGAATTGGACTGGGCGTGCTGTGAAAGCACTTCGAACCCTCGAAAGTATGCAGGGAGAGGAGCGGAGCAAACTTGACGGCAGGAGGAACTTGACGGTGGAAATTGATTTCACAAAGTGCCGAAGGTAGCTCAGAAAACAAGGCTCCTTAAAAAGGCTGCATCCCAAAACCGCCTGCATTGCAAGGGGATCCTCTAAATCAGGCCGGTACATGTGGCGCATATAAAAGCCAAATGGACCCTGGAAAAGGTGGTGGCTTGAGTATCATCTTGGGGCAGAAGGAAGGGACATGTGTGTTCGTGTTTGTGCGCGCGCTTGTGTCCACTCGCGTGCTGCACCGGCTTTCCCAACAAAACCACGATGAACCACGACAAGCAAAGAACAGGAACCTGCATACATGCTTCCAGTCAGGATGATTTAATCCAAGAGCTGCCTGCAAGAGCGATAATATATATAATATACAACAGTGTGTACATTTTTTGTATGTATGCATGCACATGCGTGTGTGTGTGTGTGTGTGTGTGTGTGTGTGTGTGTGTGTGTGTGTGTGTGTGTGTGTGTGTGTGTGTGTGTGTGTGTGTGTGTGTGTGTGTGTGTGTGTGTGTGTGTGTGTGTGTGTGTGTGTGTGTGTGTGTGTGTGTGTGTGTGTGTGTGTGTGGTGTGCGTGTGCGTGTGCGTGTGCGTGTGCGTGTGCGTGTGCGTGTGCGTGTGCGTGTGCGTGTGCGTGTGCGTGTGCGTGTGCGTGTGCGTGTGTGGTGTGTGTGGGTGTGTGTGTGTGTGTGTGTGTGTGCGTGTGCGCGTGTGGGCGTGTGGGCGTGTGGGCGTGTGGGCGTGTGGGCGTGTGGGCGTGTGTGGGTGCGTTCTGCGGGTGGTGTGGTGGTGTGTTGTGGTGGTGTGTGAGTTGTGTGTGCACGCGCGCACGCGTGCGCGCATGCCGCGCCGATGCGGTGGCGCGTGCGCGTACGCCCGTGCGCGTGTGCGTTTTGCGCGGCGCGGGCGCTGGCAAACGCGTCGCGCGGGCGCGGCGCGGCGCGGGCGCGGCGGGCTCCCTGGGATGCGTGTGCGTGTGCGTGTGCGTGTGCGTGTGCGTGTGCGTGTGCGTGTGCGTGTGCGTGTGCGTGTGCGTGCGCGTGCGCGTGTGCGTGCGCTTGCGCGTGCGCGTGCGCGTGCGCGTGCGCGTGCGCGTGCGCGTGCGCGTGCGCGTGCGCGTGCGCGTGCGCGTGCGGGTGCGGGTGCGTGTGCGTGTGCGTGTGCGTGTGCGTGTGCGTGTGCGTGTGCGTGTGCGTGTGCGTGTGCGTGTGCGTGTGCGTGTGCGTGTGCGTGTGCGTGTGCGTGTGCGTGCGCGTGCGCGTGCGCGTGCGCGTGCGCGTGCGCGTGCGCGTGGGCGTGGGCGTGGGCGTGGGCGTGGGCGTGGGCGTGGGCGTGGGCGTGTGCGTGTGCGTGTGCGTGTGCGTGTGCGTGTGCGTGTGCGTGTGCGTGTGCGTGTGCGTGTGCGTGTGCGTGTGCGTGTGCGTGTGCGTGTGCGTGTGCGTGTGCGCGTGCGTGTGCGCGTGCGTGTGCGTGTGCGTGTGCGTGTGCGTGTGCGTGTGCGTGTGCGTGTGGGTGTGGTTTGTGGGGAGGGTGTGGGGAGTGGGTGTGTGTGTGGTGTGTGTGTGTGTGGTGTGTGTGTGTGTGTGTGTGTGTGTGTGTGTGTGTGTGTGTGTGTGTGTGTGTGTGTGTGTGTGTGTGTGGTGTGTGTGTGTGTGTGTGTGTGTGTTGTGTGTGTGGTGTGTGTGTGTGTGTGTGTGGTGTGTGTGTGTGTGTGTGTGTGTGTGTGTGTGGTGTGTGTGTGTGTGTGTGTGTGTGTGTGTGTGTGTGTGTGTGTGTGTGTGTGTGTGTGTGTGTGTGTGTGTGTGTGTGTGTGTGTGTGTGTGTGTGTGTGTGTGTGTGTGTGTGTGTGTGTGTGTGTGTGTGTGTGTGTGTGTGTGTGTGTGTGTGTGTGTGTGTGTGTGTGTGTGTGTGTGTGTGTGTGTGTGTGTGTGTGTGTGTGTGTGTGTGTGTGTGTGTGTGTGTGTGTGTGTGTGTGTGTGTGTGTGTGTGTGTGTGTGTGTGTGTGTGTCTGTGTGTGTGTGAGTGAGTGAGTGAGTGTGAGTGTGAGTGTGTGTGTGAAATCGCTGTGCGGGAAATTGACAGTGTTCCCTTGCAGCTTCACTTGAGGCAGGTTAAGTCAACATCACAAGGGTTGAAACCCTCGCCAGGAGGGCCAAGAGTCACAGTCAAAACCTGGTGCCAAAGCGTCGACCCAAACAAGATGAAATATCATGTGAATTGAATTCAAGGTCGTCACCCTCGCTGACCTTCATCGAGGACGTGGCTTGATCAACGCCGCCCACGTGCAGCCAGGAGTCTTCTTGTTTCTTCCGGCGCTTGGGCGCTGCGACCTGCTGCGTCAGGTTCTGAAACTCGTGCAGCAGCCGCGTGCGGACTTGGACATCCACCTTCTTGTAGTTGTCCTGCAAAGCCCCCCCAAAAAATACTTCGCTTCGAGCAATCCCCACCCTCCACACTCACGATCTTCCGCATCCTAAAGACTTCGTCGGCCCTTTTGGACATTAAGCAAAACCAGACAGGCGAGCTGCTCTGGCGGGGTACTGGCGGGATCCAGTGGCGACGGGCCGCTCCGGCTCGATACTGGCCGGATACTTGGCAGGATCCACCGGCAAGGGATACTCAGCGGGATACTCGGCAAGATCCACTGGTGAGCTCCTCTGGGAATATTCAGCGGGATACTCGGCGGGATCCACTCACAGCTGCTCTGGTGGGATACTCGGCGGGATCCACTGGCGAGCTACTGGATAATCCACTGGCAAGCTACTCTGGCATACTCAGCAGGATGCTTGGCGGGAGTTACTGGCGGGCTGCTCTGGTGGGATACTCGTACTTGGCGGGATCCACTGGCGAGCTACTCTGGAATACTCAGCGGGATATTTGGCGGGATCCACTGCCAGCTGCTCTGGTGGGATACCCGGCGGGAACCACTGGCGAGCCGCTCTGGCAGGATTCGGCGGGATCCACTGGCGAGCCGCTTTGGCGGGATACTTGGCGGGATCCACTGGCCAGCTGCTCTGGCGGGATACTCGGCGGGATCCACTGGCAAGCAGCTCTGGCGGGATACTCGGCGGGATCCACTGGCGAGCCACTCTGGCGGGATACTCAATCCACTGGCGAGCCGCTCTGGCGGGATACTCGGCGGGATCCACTGGCGAGCAGATCTGGCGGGATACTGGGCGGGATCCACTGGCGAACAGCTCTGGCGGGATACTCGGCGGGATCCACTGGCGAGCTGCTCTGGCGGGATGCTTGGCGGGATCCACTGGCGAGCTGCTATGGCGGGATACTGGGTGGGGGCGTGGTGTAGAAGCGTCGCAAATGCAGATGCCAACATAAAATCTAACAACCCCTTCCTGCCGGGTGGGGAAAAACACACAAAACCAAAAACACATACACCAGCATAGGCCCCAGATAGCGAAACCCGTGCCAACGATTGCACGCCAGCATCTCTAACAGCTCTGCCCAAAGAGCACCTCACCAACACACCCAACAGCATTCCAAAACAGCACCTGCACAAGAAGCCCCAAATTGCATGCCCCCCGGCACCCTGCCATCAATCTCGCAAAACGCACCCGCGCCCGTCGCCAGCCCCCCTAATCACCCGCACCAGCACCCCAAACTGCATGCCCCCGAGCACCCTGCCATCACTTGCAAAAGTGTGCCCGCACCATCACCCCGAACAGCACGCCCAGACAGCACTCCCAGAGCACCCGGCCGTCAATCTCGCAAAAGTGCCGCCACACCAGAACCAGCACCTCAAACAGCACGCAAAACAGCATCCCACAACAGCACCTTCGTCAGCACCCACACTGCATGCCCTAGCACCCTGTCGTCAATCTTAAAAAATGCACCAGCACCTACACCAACACCCCAAACTGCACCCCCCTAGCGCCAGCCCATCAATTTCGCAAATCACTTTCCCCTCTTTATTCGAAGTTATTCGAAGTTAGACAGTTAGAACCCCTATAGCTTTCCACTATCTCGGGAAACATATAGCAGGACCCAGCCACATAGGTAGCACGATCCAGCCCTAAAGCCAAGAAACAAGGATTTAGTAGAAGTTGAGTCTTTAGCCCTTCCACCCAGGGCATAGCAACGCGCCAGGAAGCCTTTTCCCTACTGCTGCATCAATGTCAAGTCAAACTGGCCATAAAGCCAACCCTTTTTGAGGACATACATGGAAATACGCCCAAGGTTGCCCAGATTTCCCCTCAAAACATTCCACCCCCACCAGGAGAACCTCACCTTTGGGCCAACGGATGTTTTAAACCACCAAGAAGGGAGTGAATCTGACCGGAAACCCCTTTGATCAGAATTCGGTTGATTTTTCCCATCCCGCCAAAGAGCAACTGCCACCGGCCGTCGCAGTCCTCCAGGTGCAGCGGTTGGCGAAAGGCTGGGGACTCCGTGAAGAAGTCCCGCGTCAGGCCGTGGCGGTGCAAGGCCTCAAGCGTCGAGTCGTTCTGAGGCCCGGGCCGCGGCCCGCGGTTTGGTTGATCCGGCCAAGTAACCGGGGGGCTGGGGGGTTGCGGGGGGGGGGGGGGACTCTAAAACTAGCTGTGAAAACTCTGGTAGTAATTCAGCCCCTTGTATGACGCCAGCTTCTTGCCAAGAGCAGGTGCTGATTCTTGACCATGATAAACCTTGAAATGCGATGTGTCGAAAGAGAGCCTATTGTCCCAACAGCCTCCCCACTTTGCCGGGCACCAGGGCGTATCATTTTAAGCTCCAAGCCACAACGCCCTGCTTGATCTGAAAGGGATGCCACGATAAATGGATAAGGGCGCGTTTCTCAAGATAGTGGTCCCTTGAAAGGGTTGGTTTCCGCTTGGCGTGCCTTTAAACACCAACAATAATGGCGCCACCATCTTGAGAGACCAACCTCGAGAGGCAACATGACTGCATTCCGGAAGAGATCCCAGGCAATCTCAGATGTCCATCTACAATTCAACAACCCCTTGTTTTACACTTTTGAGCCACAATAATTTCAGCACAACTCCTTTGTGCTTCCCAAAGGGGACCAATTGGTTCAACAAATGTTTGCAGCAACCCCCGGTCCGATGCCATGGCCAACACCGGCCTCCGCACAGTCTTTGGGCCGGCCCTGCTGCAGGAGTTTCAGCATCTTCCGATGCAGCACATCCTGGTATGAGAGCACAAAGTCCTGGCCGGAGAGTGCCATTCAACACCTCAGATTGAACACACGGACGGAACTCCGATGTATCTCAGGAAGTTTGCATGGAGCCAGTTGACTAAGCAGAACCCCGGGCCAAGTAGTGAAAAGGAGAGAGGTGTGCCATTTAAGAGTTGGATTCAGATACCTTTTGGAGAAAACGCCCGCTCAACTCTAACCCGCCATGTTCTACCGGGGTGGATGAAAACACACATCGCCCATGCCCTACGAAGTGGTCGTCCATCCGTCGCCAGGGCTTCCCCAGTTGCAACTAGTGATTTTGGTAGAGAAAGGGGACTTCTTTTGGTTTGGCGCATTTTTTATGGGGGTGATTCCCTTCGGATGCTATGCGAATGATTGTCCTTTGGTGTCAAGCTGGAACCAATCCGGTTTGGGTTGCCTGACTTAAATGAGCTCCTCCCTTGCAAACTAAGAGAAAGAAGGACGCAACCCACGTGTTGTCAGTCGATCACTTCCGAGCTGATCCCTCGGATGGTCCTGGCCACAGGTAGTGACTCTGCGGACCTTGGCGCTCAGCTCATGCACCAGGCGATGGTTCTTGTTCATGGACGCCAGCTTCTGAAGCCATGTCGGGAAGGAGGGCTTGCTGAACACCTCCTCCCCCGCCATGAGCGCAGAAGGGTACACCTCAGCATGCAAGAAAAGTTCACTGGGTTGCTTTTGCCCCCTGATGAAAGGGTCTAACCTCAATGGAAAACCCTTTTGTTTCCAAAAGGTCGAAGGGGCTGCCCCCCTCAGTGCCAGCACACCTCAGCATCCCAGTCCACACGGATGCCAGGCCGGAAAGCGATGTTGGGAGCCCTCTTGGGCCTGACGCATGGCATTTACCAATGCCAAAGCCAGGCGTTGCAACAAACCAGCTTTGACAGCTTTCGACCTGGTACCCGCCATCTTTCGACCTAGAACCCGCCAGCTAGGGCCTCTAGGGCCTCGGCAGTGCCCAAAAAGGCCGCGCTGCCCATGGTCTCGAAATTTCCAGACCTGAGCTGCCACTTTCCAACCAACCAACCAACCAACCAACCAACCAACCAACCAACCAACCAACCAACCAACCAACCAACCAACCAACCAACCAACCAACCAACCAACCAACCAACCAACCAACCAAGGGGCTGTAGCACAGTAACCAGTAGAAAGAAAACTCATCGCATCTCCTTCCCATCCCCCGGTGCTCGACTACACGTGCATACTGTGGATGGATAAAACCCACTTCGCGCCTGCTGATTCGTAAAGGGACCAAGCCTCAAACCGCACAAACCCATATGGCGTCCCCTATCCGAACTGGTGCCAGGAGTGTGAATTGCCATCCGCCTGGCAAGTCTGGGGAGGCACTTCCGTGAGGGTAACTCCTCGCCCTCAGAAAAGAAGCTGAAAGAAGGAAGCAACTACTGGCAACCTCTGGAGGTTTCTTTCGGAGGTCGGATTGAGCCAACCCTTGATTTGGCGAGTAACACCAGGGCCTAAATAGGTACACATATTATTCTGCTATGCTCATGACTTTGTTTGGTGGTCGCGTCCCCGACAGCTCCTACAATCTACATTGCCCTACAGCTGAGCAAAACCATATCCTGCAGGTCCCCCCCCCCCTCCGCCAGCGAGCCTGAGCGTCGCAAAGAACCATGGGCCCCCATTCTTGGTTGCTGTTGACCCCTCTGCAAATAGTGAATCACTTTGCGTGGGTCCAATACGAAAAATCCCACCTATTTCCACCCAAAAGTTAAAGTCCGAAGATCCGATACAAATTACCAATTCCCCTCCTGCCCTCTAACATGGAACCCGACAGGGGGTGCTGGTTTGGACCAAATTCCTTTACTTGCTGGTGCTCAGAAGGGAAGGGAATGATCCTTACAAACCATCCATCCTCTGGTTTCTTTTATTCGGGAATCTTCAGGTTCATTCCATTTGTTATTCCATGCATCTCTCGCACCGATCACAAGTTGAAAAGCCACCCCACGTCTCTGGGCCATTTCTCTGGGCCCTCCGCAACTTTTAGTGCCTTGACTTTGAACCCCCCAACCACCAAACCAACTGAAAAAAGCTCCAAAAAGCCAAGTTGAACCGAACCGGATTGGGACACACCGCTAAACCAACTGAAAAGCTCCGGATAGGCCTTCGGACACCGCGCTCTCCGACGTCCATTGGCCCGTCTGCCCGTCCAACCGGCCGTCCAACCCGCAACGTCCGGCGGGGCGCAGGCCGTCCGCGGTGGCGATGAGCTCCGCCGCCCGCGCGGCGCGCTCCAAGGCCTCCGCTTGCTGCGAGCGCCTGGCGCAAGCGGCGGCGGAACCGGCGCAACGGGCGCCCAAGCCCAGGGCTTGGTTGGTTTGGGGGAGAGGGAAAAAAGAAGGAGTCGTCAGACTGGGGGTGGTCAGTTTAGATGTGCGTGTTTCTTTGGTAAGTGTGTGAGGTTTAAATCTGTGTTGTTTCTTGATTTGCGTGATTTCTTCTAGTTCTGTTCTTGTTCTTGCCAAGGGGTCTTCGCAAGGGGTCCCCCAAGGCCAATAGAGCCTGGTAACGCCCAATGCGGCCGAATAAGGCCGAGATACTCGATACTGGCCTTGACATCCGTTGGGCCAGTTGAAAGTGCCTCTTTTTCCGGGCTTCCCATTTGGCTGTGGGTGAAAAAAAAAAAGAACCCAAAATGGCACCCTGGTAAATGGACACAATGACTAAAACCTGTGGTCCGCTGGTGGTTTAATTTTGACCCATACCCATTTGAAAGGGCCCCCAAACTCGCTGTTCAAATCAAACTTTGGCCCCACCGGGATCAACAGCTCCACCCACGGTGAGTTCTATTCGCTCAGTGTGTCTTAAGGTAAGGGCCCGCTAAAAAATGTGGTTTCCCTTTAGTTTCTTCAACAAAAAGCGCGCCCTCCAAAAATGCACGACCACATCAGTTTGAGTGGGGGAAGGGAGCAGCATGATCAAACGTCTAGTCTAGTCCAGTGTCCGGTTTAAAATGGTCCAGCAGCTGTCTTGCTTGACATGCACGGCTGCATCGTCGTGAGCTGCCCTACACCCGTGATTGGCAGCCTCCCGGTTCCACTGTACTTTCATTCATCTACCAAGGGGTCCCGGGCAAAACTAAACCTAGACGATGTTTTGCTGGTTCCATGTTAATCCGCAGGAGTGTCGGGGATATGAACATCCAAACTTCACTCGCTTTGCTGGGCCTCTCGTGAGGCCGCAGGTAGTTCTCCTGAAGGAGCATGGGGACAAACTCTGAGTCCACAAAGTACATGTCCATCCTGCAGGCGGCGGATGCATTATGTACACCATGGCCGAGCTTGCACCGTGGTATCATGCCGAAAGCCAGTAAGCCCGACAAACAAAGGTACTTCCTACATGTTCTCTTCAAACATCACGCCACAAGACAAGTCGGATCATTTGGGTGATGCCACCCGGACAGAAACATACAGGGACCTCTGATTAATCAAACCTCCCAAAGGCCAAAAACCGCCTCCCTCGCCTCGAAGAAGGGACCAAAGGGAGAAAGCAAAGTCCAGAGTCAGGGCCCAAGCCCCGGCATCCGTAGTGGCAAATTCGCATTCCTGGGCCCAACTGACCCCGAAAATTATCCGATCTTCGGATTCGGTCCTCTGCTCCAAGGTGAGGCGTTCCCGGTGGTGGGACAGCAGCCTGGAGCACGCGTCGAAGGGCGTCACTGTGAGCTGCGCGTCTTTTCCGCTGCTGGCAGGCCCTGTGCCGAAGAACTGCAGGTGGTTGATGACCTGGGCCCAAAACGCGGTGCTTTGTCAATGCATCTTCTGGAGTCCAACTCCCTGGTTGATTCATAGAGGGTGTCCCCTTGAGAAACCTTCACTTCTGTGGGTGACACCCCTATAAGGAGGATGGGTTCATTCGCCCCAAAAGAAGCCCTATTCAGTCTGCCTTGGGGTAGCCAAACAATGGAACCGGGGGCCAAGTGGATAGACCAACAAGTTGTTTAGCAAACAGCTCTAGTGTTTAGGGTCAAAGTTTAGGGCGAGACGTTGAATTGCTCCAAGGTGCGAGCCGCTAATGCCCGTGAAATTACTACAAGCTTGTTAGGGTCATTAAGATAATACTACGGTCGTCGTTTGCAAGTCCAACATGATTGCTGGCGTGCTGAAATACAAGCGAAGGAGATGCCCTTTTCAAAGGTGTCGCCATCAAACCGCGTGTCGGTTGAGGGAATTATCTCACCATTGGTGACCAAATCGCGTGTGCACATTTATTGAACATGGCGTCTACTCCAACATAGCTTGAACGCAAAGCCTTTCTGGGGAAACCAAGGTCGACCAGCTTGGAGCGTCCCTTAAACTTTGACAAGCTGCACCCCACAGATGGGGACAACAGTTGGGTCATGTCTGGAGGTTACTTGTGGGTGGCCTGTCTTTCCTTGAGGGTACCCTTGCTGGTTGGTTTTAAAGGGAAACCAAAAGGGAAACCATCATTTTGGGAGTCCCCTCAAAAACGGAAAACACAACCCCCTTGTTGCCCTCGGATTGGACAATTTACTGACTCCCCGAGTTTTTGTTGCAAATTTCGGAGGGTCCCACATCCCTTCGGCCACTTTTCGCCAAACCTTCGTGCGCCTGGCGAATGTCCTGGCCACATGCCTCCACCACCGCCTCCACAGCCGTGATCTCCACTTTCCTTCGTACGTATGGGGAGCATGGGGGTAAGCCCCTGCAAATTAACATGAAACCAACAAAAAAAAACATCGTTTCTAGAGGGCTCTTCTTTTGGAGGAACCCCTTTTCGGCGTTCCATGTTCATTCCAGGGCGGTTATCAAAACCCTTTTTGGCACACGGTGGCACACGTAGCATACCATCAGAATTGAAAATGGGCCATACTTTTGACACCCCCATGGCGTACGAACAATTCAATTGGGGTTCGCAAGTTACGGACCATTTGGTGCACATCATCATTCACACTGCGACGTATGGCCACTGGCCGTTGAGGCTGGTCGGATAAATTCGCGATGCAACTTTCGGCTGGAACCTTACTGCTGTTGAAAAGAAAGGGTGCTGAAGAGAAACTCACTTGCCCTGCACAAAAAGAAAGACATGTTTTATAGTTCAGTTGTAGCAGTACAACGTTTTTCCAACCAATTTAAAGGATTCCCAAGCAAAGGACATCCATCACCGGTGAGCTTGTTTGCCTCTAGGTGCGGCTTTCCTGACTTTACCCAACCTCCCAAGGGTTACCCTCAAAAGATACCCCCACAATCAACACCTGGCAATAAGATGCTCTACCCAGAGCCATGTAAAGAATTCAAAAAGAGGCGGCTACACCCGGTTCTGGTTAAGACTATCCTTTACTCGCCTTCATCTACCCGGGTGTTGAGGGCGTGGCCCTTTCGCCGCCGGCTCGCCGCCCGTTGTTTTGTTTTCGCCCAGGGTCCGTCCCTCGCCCCGGAGGATGCCGGTGATGCGCTTGGCCACCTGCACGTTCTCCGGCTTCCGAAACTTCAAGTCGTAGCCTCGGGATCGAAGCGGCGCCATTTTTGGCAACCCGGGGATGACATGTTCAGGCGCAGGTCCGATTTAGCCTAGGAAAAATAAGCTTGGTGATCCAAAACCCCAGGCAAGCCCTTGGGGTCGACAGTGTGAAGAGGGGAACCAACCAAACAAAATCGGCACCACCCACTGAACGACTGGGAAAGGGACAGGCCCATGGAGGGTCACACCTGCAAAAATATTTTCCTGCTGGTTCAGCGGGGAATGAAGAAAACCCCAAGCCGGGGTGTGTCCAATGGGGGATACCCCGTCCTTCTGGCGACCTTCCTAATATCATTTGGTTGGTCCGATGTCGCGGTCCTTTCAACTAGTTGGGCCCAAAGTGGGCCCCAGTCTCCCCAGTAATCCCCTCTCCGGCAAGAATGAAGCTCCCAGAAAGGCTGAACAAGCAAACGCCCAAGGTCTTCCAGCCAAAGTTGGCTGATGGCATTTGCTGCGACTGCGAGCCTTGCCAAGACGGCTCAAAATGCGCACAAGTGAAAATGCCGCGGTCATCAGAAGGACTTTGCAGCTTTTGCTTCTGTTCCAATCCAGCTGGCAGCTAGACCAATAAATATATTACATCCACAAACACAGGGCCCATCCAAGTCAAGAAGGAATGTTGTCACCCATGCCACCCTTCTCTTCCCCAATAGGTGTGTCTACTTTCAGCTTAGAGCCTAGCCTTCTAGCTCAGGGCAAACATGGACCTGTTCATCTCTACCAAAAAACAGGAAAAATGAACCGTATTTTCGGCACACCGAACGGCAGCGTGGCCACAAACATCCAGTGAACAATCTAGCGAAATGTGGCCTTCTCACGATCTTTCACAAGAGTTGCGGTTTCTGAGAGGGACCAGGCTAGATTGCCATTTAGAAGATTGCTCCCCACCCCCTCTCAATACAATGCAAAACCCTAACTGATATACAACTGAGCGGATACAGGAAAACAAGCAAACATGCGCATCTAAAACAAAAATAAGAAACTAACAAATCACTAGACCCCAAAGCTGCATCCCTCTCGCCCACTCCTTGTGGCAGGGAGCAGTGGCTCGCCAACTGCCGCACCGAGGCATCGCTGCGGTCGTTGCAAATGCAGATCACTGGGCTTTTGGTTTGCTGGATGAGCTTGATGAGTGCCTGTCCGACCGGACCCAATCCCCAAACCCAGTCTCTTCCCAATCCAGTTCCATCCCCAAGCGCCCAACTCGTTTTTTTGAAGGTCGGGGTGGTTGTAAAAGGAAACCTTTGGGGTTTCCCCAATTTTGAGACAAACCCATAACGCTTGGAATTTCAACCACAACGCTTGTTGGAAATGATACGGGAATCGGAATCATTCCAGGGCTTCTGAACGGTGGTGCGAAATGAATTTCGCAACCATCCACAGTATGTTTCCCCTTAGGTCATCACCCAAAAGGAAGCTTGGAAACATGCTGGGAATTCTTGGCAGAACAGGCTACACCAAAATGATATGCTCAGATTCTGCTTCATAAGGATTTGTCTCCAAAAATTCGGGACCCCAAAGACTGGTGGTTTTTTTCTTTGGTGTTTAAGACCACCCCGGAAAGGCACCTTCAAAAGAGACAGCCCCATATTCAGTCAGCCTCATGCAACATATCGGAGCCCCCGGAATGACTCGGGACGGGGAGAGCCAGCAGACTGCGAAATACCGCAAAACCCCTAGTAGACTCACGTTGCTTTTTCTGGAGAGGAACTTGCGACCAACCCAAAGTGACTTCCGCCTTTTGTCAGGCCTTTCAAAGAACCCCAAAGGCACCTCCCCCCCCCCCCCCCGCGGAGGGACAAAATATTGCACCAGTCGGTGGATGAGCCACGACCTCAATACTGGGAACAACCAATCCCTGTCATAGCTTACTTCCTAATTAACTGGCAAAGAAAAAAGCTTGAACTGTTCATTTACCACTAAAACGGTACCCAAAAAGTGACTACTAAAGTCCAGGAACTCAGAGAGTGAGACAGACTTTGCTCCATCCACAGTGCTTCCCCCAAAAATAGTAAAAGGAGAATTCAAAGAATTATTCTTTCTACTATTTTTTCCAACAGCAACACAACAAACAGAAAACAAAATCCAGAACAACAAGCAAACAAAATAAATAATCACAACCAGCAACAAAATTATTCAATCACAGCATACAACATTAAATAGTTCAAACAAGCATACCAACAAAACAGCAACACTCTAAATCATCAAAGACACTCAACTCAAAAACACACATCAACAAAAATCAAAGCAACATACCAACAAAAAATATCATAAGAGTATCAAACAAAACAAAAACAAGCAGCCAAAGCACGAAAAAATCAAAGAAGCATGCCAAGTCTAAACAACGCACTTTGAAAGAGATAAGCAAATTAGGAAAATATAATAATTCAATCTTTACAAACGATAAATATATTACAATTATAACATATAATAGTTTACATGTGATAATCATAGTATGAGTTCAACTTTATTCTAATTAATTTTAAAATTCTCTTTCAATTCGTTTCACTATTTTATCAACTGTTTTTTCATTATACATATTATTTCCTATTTCTTTTATAAACACCTTCATTACACTAATTGCATGTCTTGCTGTGTATCTAAGTTCGTGAGCTTCATACTTACAATTTAAAAACTCATTTACAAAATCAAAGTCATTATCATTCAATGCTTCGTATTTTAAACCTTTAATGCTAAAAGACATATTGTATAATCTTTTTACCAGGCTATAATACTTACAAATAAAACCATTCACATATCCATTATCTAATAAATTATCAAATTCTATTTCAGTCAAGAACTTATTCATTTCAATAAAAACAAATATTTCTAAATCATCATCAAGAGTTTCAGCATTTCTAGTATCAAAATCTCTGTTGTTCATATCATCAATTTTGTTTATAATTCTATTACAATTATCACATATCATACATTGACAAATATTATTACTAACACCATCTATAAAACCCTGTTGAATTGTTAACTTTAGCATCCCACAGTCTTTACATTTGTAATTCATAAACTTTTGTTTCAATATATTTTTAACATCAATATCTTCATGGACAGTATCACTAAATTCACTATACACACTTTCTACATCACTATATTCACCATATTCACTTTCTGTATCACTCATTTCTATCTTAATATATTAAGTCAATATTTCTTTAAGTCGTTTTCAAAGAATTTATTTTATAATGGCCGTAAGCAAGTGAGTTTACACTATCTATCCAATATTTTTTGTTTTCATAACTACTAAGAGCAATTTTTTTAGTTGTTATACTAAAAATTCTGTGGTTTTTACTTCTAATACTATTAAATGACTTATGTATAACCTCATTAGTTTTTAAAACCGTCTCAAACTCTTCATATTTCATTTGACGTCTTACTGTGCCTTTTGCTATTCCCTTACATTTCTTATATTTTTTATCATCACCATAAACTGAGTAAGCATAGCATTTAGGACGAAGGGCTATAAACCCTGTTATTATTTTACTTTTTAATTCATCCTTAAATTTCCCTAATACTTTCTTGTTATTCTCATCATAACATTTATGTTCCTTAGGATAATCTGAAAAATCTAATTCTTTTTTAATTGTATTCAGGTCTTCATAAATGTCATTGGTTTTAGTATGAAATACAAAACTATCAGTATCAGTATATACCATTTTAATATTATCTCCATATTTAGGCTTCATAACGTCATAATAAAATTTATACATGTGTTGCTTACTCAAATCTAAAATACTCATCCCAATAAATATAGGTTTGTCTAGTTTCAACTTTGTTTTTTGCTTTTCAACTCCAACCAAATTTTCATTAATGATATGACTATGTTTGAAGTTAGGATTACTTACACACTTCATATATCTAGTTTCATCACTCACAACCTCAAAATCTAAATGTTTCCTTATCCTCCATTGTTTTTCCAAATATGGCATTGTTCATCAATTTGTAAACATCTTTCTCAAAATCATTTCTAGCATTCTTCCTCTTCTCAGTGTTAAACTCAATGTAAGGTTTTAAAACTTCTTTTTGTTCAAATTTAATTGCTCTATGAATTTTCTTAAGTTTTAACCCTTGCTTCAAATAAAATTGTAAGGTTCTTATATGGATTACATATTTTTCTTTATCATTTAAATTCAATACTAATTTATTTGTTTTCTCATCCGTAGGTTTTTTATGATTTAAAAATTCATAAATTTCAATTTGTTTATCTGACAGCATGTCGGCTTTAACATTCATAACCTCAGGTGCCATTGGATAGTCATTGTGTAAATCGTGTAATTCTTTAGGATATTCTAAATCCACTTCTAGAATATATCCAATATTATTATTCTTATAATTAATAATGTCTTCTTCTTTTAATGTATCATCCCATTTTAGATTTTTATATGGCAGTTTTTGTATCATGCTTAACCCGTACAAATTATTAGCATCAAAATAGTTAATATAACTACTTTCTTTATTTTTATCATATTCTTCTCCCATGTATTTATTATTTGCTTCAACTTTTTTAGTAGAAACCATACACATCCCGCCTCTAAGTCCCGCTTCTATCATTTCATACATTTCTTGGTCATATATTAAATCAATCTCTACACCAGTCATTTTAAGCATAGCATCAAAAGCAAAGTTAGGCAATGTATAATAATAAGCAGGGTCCAATCCATAATATTTCATACATACATCTCTAAAATTTTCGAAAATGTCAGTCAATAATAATACATCAGTTTTCAAATATAAATCATGGTATTCACCCATATTCTTAATGTCGAAATGCTTCCATATAATTTTTGCCCTTTCATAGTCGTTAACACTTATACCTTCTTCACTCAACTGACTATAAAAATCATCCTTACTCGGTAATTGCTCATCATCAAATTTATCAAATGAATTCATGTAGTCATAAGGATAAACGCCTTTATCAGTTAATAAATCTAGACATTTCTCACTCTTAATCACATCATTTTTACTACTGAACCTAAAATTATCTTTCCAGTTTTCACGCAATAACCATTTACTTTTATCTTCTTCATCTGTATTATCATACTTACTCATTGAAACTAACTTATCTAATGAAGCAGTTAAAAACCCAAAAGTGTCTTTAACACTCAAACTTTCAAAACTGATATTAATAAATTTTTCACTGTTCTGAGCGATGACACCTATTTTATTGTTGTTACTTAATTTATCCGCATTTTGAATAATTAAATGACCATCATAATTTTTCATGTTATGGAAGAATACAGGAATTTTAAAATATCTATTACAAAAATTAAGATTGCAAACATTATGAGCACAACCTCTATACTTACCTGTAAAATGACAATGGTCTCTAACTTTTCTATATTTCTCTGCTTCCTTGGCATTCTTATAGTTCATTCTAAACTTGTTTCGCGAAGCTGACGCATCGCTCAAGCGAAATGCGTCTCCACAAATAAAGCAGTTTTTAGCATTTTTAAAATCTTCTTTGTCTTCATCAGTCATATCTATTTTTTGTTTTCTCCCATCTTCTCCTTTACTTCTGCCCTAATCTCATTAAGTTTTTGACAAAACACATCAACAGCATCTTTACCACGATACATAAATTCATAATTTGTATTATCAACAGCATTAACCATATTAAGCATAAAACCACATGGTTTATGCTCTTGATAAGAAAAAGTGTTTTTATCTTCATCTTCATCAGGTTTTTTCAGTTCCTCTGTCAAACATTCAAAATCAGCATATACAACAAAAGGACATCTTAACTTTTTGAAGTGATGCTTAAAACTAACTTTCTCATAAGGCTTAGGCATTACTATTTGTTGTCCATCAACTTCCATACATCCACTATCATAATGTTTATTTAATAATTCTTCATTTCTAAATCCATGATTACAATATTTACAAAAATAGGACTTACCATTATGATTACTTTTTTGATTATTAATAAGTCTGCTCAAACTTTTTATATACACATAATGACTGCAATCCTCATCATCAACTCTTAACAAATCAAAATGAAAAGAAGCATCTTTATTTTTCAATTTTCTACTAATAACAATTTGTTCATTATCATCAATTTCATAAACATTAATGGATATTGATTTATTATTTTCTTCAAATATATCTATATCATTATTATTAGCAG